GACTCATGAACATGTGGTCTAATATCAAGTCCTCATATGAACGGCAGCTTCGAGGCCCTTCACTGGTCCATCAATAGCAATCCGCTTCAGAACGACCTCGAGCTTGGCGGGCTCCGTGCGTCCCCGAAGAAAAGCGGGGTCGAGGAACGATCTAAGCGCCATCGCGTCATACCGGAGGACCTCGGACTCCGAGCACATCTCCAGTGTGTCCAATACCGGACACAAAGGAAGGGCCGTCCCAAGTTGGCCAAGAGGGACCGAGCGGTCCATGTACAGCGTGACACGCAAGCACCGAGGAAGGACTGTGTCCTCGCCACTGACTTTGCGCATAGCGAACCAGACGATGGCATCGATGGACAATGATATGATATGGCAGTGCACGTCCGGAATGTCGAACCCGGAGCATGGTGCATCCTCCGTCCCAGGGGATGGTCTAAACAACGACGCTTCGAATGTTCGAGAGCAGCGCCCGGACTGCTCGGAATAACACAGCGTAAAACGCTTCTCGACGGAGCCGCGCGGAGAACGGGGCATCCGGGCTTCCACGTCCAGGTTGCCGACAAGGTGCGATAGCAATATCTGAACGATGGAACGGCGCATGTCCGTGGTGATTATCTGAGGTACGACGGCAAACGCTGGAAGATGGAGGAAGTGCTCCGGTATCCCGTTACGCACCGCCAGTCGCAGTCGGCCTAGTCCGGTCAAAACGGGCTCGTATATCGAACTTGGCCAGTAGGGAGAGAAATACAGAGGACCTCCAGAGATCTCCAGTTGCCTTAGAGACGGCATCTGGTCGACGAAGCTGAAGGGGAACGCGTCCCCTCTTAACGAAGGAATACTGAACGAAAAGTCGGTTACTTCCCGAAATGCGTCGGGTAGATATGTGTGAACAGTTGCGTGGAGTCGAAGTTGACGTAGACGCGGCGCATGACAACAGAAGATGTCGAGCGGAAGGAAGTATGAAAACCGCTCGCCAGGAGTCGCCGTGAATTCCAGGGCGAACAGAGATAGATTCGGCGCCTTCCCGTGCAATGCGCAAAATACATCATCGTCGGAGCCAACGTGAACAGAGAGACGTAGCTGCTCTACGCGGTTGAGGTGTTTCTTGACCAGCGGAAGTACCTCGGCGACAAGCCCGTCGCGCTGCGCCGCCTCAGAAAGAGATACGCAGATGCGCACACACGAAGATGGCTTATACTTGAGCCGCACGCGAAAGAGCTGGATGTCGATCCGCGATATCGAAGAGAGTCCAACGTCTCGCCAGTAGGCGAAACATTCTCGTCCGGCGAATCGCCACGAACGGCAAACCAGTATCGCATGGTCAAGGTCCTCGAGTGCAAGCAAATCGAAAGTTCGAGTCAAGAGCTCGACTGGAAGTGCGATATACCGCGTCATGGCCGATGATGTGGTCGAGGTTGAAGCTTTCGAAATTCATGCTCAGCGGAGCGCCTATCGATGGCTGCGGAAGTGCTGCAGATGAATCTGACGCGTGTTTGACCAACTACGTAAGAGGTCTGACATCGAAGCAGCTGGTTCCAAGCCCGTGGTTCTCGAGCGATGTGGCTACGCACGCTTCCCGTCGTGGGAGTGTTGGGTGGTTCCTAGTCTCCGTTGCAGACTTTACGGACGCATGATAGTCGATGCTAGTGTAAAGTCTGCTTCGAATCACGCCCCGCTGATAGACAGTCGCGACTCGGTGATAGCCGACAAACCTTATTGCGACACGGCGAGACTTTACGATACGGAAATGTTGAATATCACGCTTTAGAGCGAGATAAAGTGTCTATGTGTGACCCTTATTTCACGGGCAGTGCGCATTTTTACCTGGTCGGGTGATTAGGGCGGCGTAAGGCTGACCGGAGGAAACGGCTCGGAAGCAAGCCGGAGCTACGCGCCGATTCATCCGCCACTGCGAGACCTCCTCACAACTCGGTACAACTTGTACGTAGTATTTCAAATAAGAAACACGTGTCATTGAGTACTCGCACCCTATATTGTGAGAGACAATAGGTACAGACGGCCGATACGAGACAGTGGGACCGAGGAATCGTTAAGGTTTGGCGGAGTTCGAACGAAGCGCGACCGGCTATTGGCGGGTCGACATTCGATGTAGACTAGGTGGTTCCCTTGCCGGTGAATCAAGGATTGCAGTAAAGAGTCTGTGTACTGTGTTCATCGGCACACACGAAATGTATTGGAATCACCTATATATACAGCAAGATGACCAGACACGCAGGAAATGTTTTGTGGCCAAGAAGACGACATCGATCATGATCGATAGGGAGACGATGCGGCTATGCACCTTTGGAATGTGAACCCGGTGCATTGTACCTTCTCCCACGACTCCAAGTCAGGGGTGGATGCTTCGAAAGTTCAACGTGCAACGGCGCTTCCGGAATCTCGCACGCTGTGTTCGGAAGAACAACGTGAAGTGACTCAGACTCACGACGTCTCCCTCATGGTGAATCATACGAACAGCCGTGCCTGTTAGCTGAAGTCGTCCACCAAAGAGCAGAAGTCCATTGACGTTATCATAGAGCATGTCAGGGGCAATGTTGTGGTCTGCGAACTTGAAGCCAGGCACATCGACGTCGAAGAAGTTCCCTGTCCTGACTCCTCAGCGCCAATCGATGGCTCCGGGGTAACATTCAACATGTGTTTGGCCGACGAGAACAATGAACAACGGCATTGACAGGTCCTGCCATGGAAGCAGCTCGTTTCCGTGGTTCCTTCAGTCCCTTTACGCACAGGGAACCAAACACTTCTATACAATTGAAGTATAAAACTCCAGACACCGTATGCTGAAGGGCCGTACGCAGGACATCCAGTGTCGTCGCAATGAGCCGTCCTAACCAGTCTGGCGCATCCTCATACGGCGGCGGCGGCGGCGGCGGCAGAGATAACAATCCAGGGTATGCACGATCACCACATCCTTTGGCCGCATCGCACGGCTCTGACCGCGACATAGCCAATACGAGGAGGCCTGCCCACTCTGTCACGGCCGCCGCGATGCGAACCTCCGGTCGTACATGCACGCACCTCATTGTACGATGCAGCACCAGAATCCAGTTCAGCCCCAAGCCAACCCTGTGCGTTATGAGCAGCGCATTTCCTCGCTACTGACACCTTTGCCGGCATTGTAGCCACCAGCACCGGCTATCGCTGTTGCTCGTCCGATTAACCCCATTGTGCAGCCTCCGGTGCCTGCAGCTGCTTTGGTCAACCCTCCAGTATGTCCTACCCTCCAGCGCCCGCGTATTCTGACCTCCTTTCGAACCCCGTATCCTCCAGCCTCCGTATCCACATATGAGAATCCAGCACCCCAACGGACGCAGTCAAAATGTTCACGTTCCGAATGCGCTGTTGCCGTTCGTTTCACAGTTGGCCGACGTGACATACCCCCCGCGCCCGTCGCAGGCGGGTGGGTACCATCCACAGCAACAGCAGGCCTATGCTGAAGGCTCGGGTCAGCAGCAAGGCGTCCACCACGTTTGTACCGTCTGTGCCAGCAGATTCCCCGATCGCAATACCTTCGTGACCCACCTGCGAACGCACAACGGGTATACCAGGCCATTTCGGTGCCGCAACCGTGCGTGCAGGAAGAACTACGCCATAGAAGATGAACGCGACATACACGAGACTCGACACTGCATCTTTCGCTCAGCTGGCCGACGCGATACGCAGTAATCGTCATCATGATCATTGGCCGACTTCGTCAGGCATTGCTCGCACACCGGTACCGTCCTTTCACACTCTAGTGCTTCCAGACATCTTTTGGCACCCTCTCACTTCGATCCCAACGGCCTCTGCTCTCGCGACCTTCGTCACTTAAAAACAAAACCCTCGGAATCCAGAACCGTAAGGAACCCCGATCCGAAAAGGACAAAAAAAAGAAGGAAAAAAGGACAAACACTCACAAAAAAAGTTGCTTCGACTCGAATGACTGCTTCTCTTCCATCTCACGTTCCTTGATCTATGATCTGCCTATCACAATAGTCACGAACATGGCCCACGACCGATACGCTCCCACGACCCCTTCCGCTTGTAATCAAATTTTGTTGCGCTCGCTATAGTAAGACATGTACAGGATGGATGAAGTTTATCTCGGTATCGAGTAAGGAGGAGCAAGCAAGAAGAGAAGTGCGACACGTGATCATGAGAGCACGTGATCCGGAGGCGCACGGACTCCGAGTTCGAGACACGGCGGGTAGAGCGAGAGCGTAATGGAGCAACTAGTGTAGTACAAAGACTCGAGTGACGAGACAGGTAACGCGACCACTGGCAGCTGCAGAGATTATATACAAGCAGGGAACGCGTCCTCGTAGTTTCTAAGCGCCATCAAGCGGTCTAGACAAAATCCTGTTGTCAGTGAGGCTTGAGACGCGGACGCGTAAACGTCGGTCATAGTTGTGGCAGTGGTAGTGACGGAGACGGCTCTTATTGTGTAGGTTGCGACAATTACCCGTATTTTAATGACGCGAGTGACGCGCTGCCAGAGTGGGTGAGCACAACGGACGCGAGGGCAGTCCAAGCTCGTGGTACTCGGCGATGTGGCTACGCATGCCTCACGTCGAGAACGTAGAAGTTGCGTAGAAGGTAGAATATAAGCCACGACAGCACCTTGTACTTACTAGTATGGCATTGCTTTGCTCCATTAACTCCAATCCAAGGACAAGAAGTATCGAGGGCATCTCCGTCTTGGGTATACTATGAAGTATATAATGAGCAACGAGAAAGAAAGGGGCGCGACGAATGATCACAAGAGCACGTGAACCGGACCGCAGGCGACGCGGACTCCGAGAGACACGTCTGCAAGACTGCAACTCACACTTCTTCCGTTTGTATCATTCTCCCCCCGGAACTGTGCGGCATGAGAAATTGAGACGCCGCAGTCGCGAGCAAGTCATCATGGGTCCGGCTCCGAATCTGGCTCGGGCGCAGATGTTCTCGTTCATTCCATCGCTTGCCGAGTCATTTGGTAGGCAAAAGGGAAGGAGTTCTGGTCGTGCCCAGAGTCGAACCGGGATCTCAAATAGGAAGGCATTTGCGCTATTACCATTTAGCTACACGACCGATCAAAAACTACGCGCGGAACGAGAAGTCAAACCACCGCCTACGTTTCACAATCCTTGAACGTATTGCAATGTAAGAGCTGTCTATTTCTAGACACGGCGCGGACGGGTCCAGTTTCTGGTAAGGCGATGTACAAGACTGCATGTTGTAGCCGTTCGCGCGTGTAGTATACTATACACGCGCGAACGAGCAGCCCCACAGACTCAATCGCAAGACGCCAGGACGGCGCAGAGTTCGGGTAGGGATACGCGCGCCACTTTCGCCACTGTCGAGTGGGAGTAACCTCGCTCGACGCGTCTGAGCGCGAAGGCGGGGGGAGGAGGGAACAATCGATCAAGCGGAGTACGAACCGCCTTTCCTCGTCGTTCCAACGCTCCAACAGGCTGGTACGGTACATCGCAAAGAGAGCAGCGAGAGCAGAGTCGAAAGATTACTTAGACTTCGCCATACACGGATTGAAGCGGGCGGTATCATTTGAGCTGGACCGTGACATCGTCTTCAAGGTAAGTACTTGCGCAGAGAAACGGCTACAAGTGGGCGGTGGGAAGACAGCGTGGGTCGACACAAAGCCATGAACATAGTTCCGAGACCTGCGACCGGTTAAAAGTCTATATAACTCTCAGGTCGACGACGTCTTCGATCTCCATTGTATCTCCTTCGATAGTAATCCGATCCAGAACCACCCGAAGCTTGCTAGGACGTGTGCATGGTGGAGGAGCCAAAATTACTGTGTCCAGAAACATCTTGAGCTCCGTAGCGGCAAAGCGTAGGACGTCAGACCCGCCGGAGTGTATCTCCAGAGTCCCCAACGCCGGAAAAGTTGGAAATGTAGCACCGAGCTGCTGGAGCGAAACCTCTGGATCGATGTAAAGTGCGATATGTCGGCACGCAGGGAGCGCGGTGATGCGGCTGGCAAGTTTGAGCCAGACAATGGCGCCGACAGATACAGACCTAATGCGATTGCGCACATCGGGGATATCAAGACCGGTCCACAGCGCGCCTTCCGGATGCGGCGTAGCATATAGGGTGTCAACGAGATTTAACGGTATTTCGAAGGTCCGGCTGCAGCGGTGCGTCGGGAGAGGGTTGAGATCGGAATAGCAGAGCGTCAAGCGCGGGCCAGGCTCGGGCTCATCTGGAGAACGATGAACCCGAATTTCGAGGTCCACATCGCCTGCCAGAGAGAGAATAAGCGATTGGATAGTCTCATAGCGCAGATCTGTAGTGAAGATCTGACGAATCGATGAAATCGCTGCTCGACGAAGAAGGATTTGACTCGGTATAGGCCCGCGCATGATGAGTCGCAGTCGCACTAAGCGAAGCAGGACCTGTTCGTATTCCGAAGAGGTGTGTGCGGTAGACTCGGTTATCTCACCGCCCGAAATTTCGATTTCGCGTAGGGCGGGCATCTCGGCAACGAAGTCGAGGGGAAATGCCCATCTCATATTGAGTGGCATGACGAAGCTGAAATCGGTGACTGCGCGGAATACTTCGGGGATATGGACGCATGTCACTCCGGACAGTCGAAGTGAGCGCAGACGCGGTGCTTGGCGACAGAAGATGTCCACTGGAAGTGCGATGCGCAGCGAAGGTGGCATGTCGGACGTCAGGATGAAGTACAGCATGAAGAAGGACAGATAGGGCGCTTCGGCGGTCGAGAGCGTGTCAAGGACGGCATGATTTGCGTCGACGTGGACGATTATGGAGAACGCTTCCGTTCGGTGCAGGTGGGCGGAGATTAATGGGAGCACATAGGCGACTACGGCATCGCAGTCCGACGCAGTGAAGATGGTCACAGATACACGCACGCAGGAAGCCTGTTTGTGCTCGAGTCGCGCGCGAAAACGCTGTATATCGCTGCGCAACACCGTACTTAGTGCAATGTCCCGCCAGTACGCCGAGCAATCCCGCCCAATAGATCGCCATGAGCGACAAACCGCTATGGTCCGGTAAAGGTCCTCAAGCAAGAGAAAGTCGAAGATGTTGGACAAGAGCTCTACCGGCAGGTGAATGAATCTAGTCATATGTAGTACGACGATGGTCAAGAAGCAAGAGGCGCAGAAGATCCCCGACCATCCAGCGCTAATCGATGCGTCGGAATCAATGTCTGAGTCAGTGTGGCAAGTACAACCCAGATAGAACCTCATTCATATGCAGTCTCGGTCGACCAAGGGCTCGTCTTAATCGTACGGCGTTATTTGTTCGCGCTCGATCAGGCTCGCAGCTTTCCTTGCCTGGGCGCGTCTCCCCGCGTCGACTCCGCTTCCACGTACGGCGGCTCGTGCTTCCTCCAGCAGTGACGTGGCACACAAGTGACAGGATTCTCAGTATTCGTTGACGGGAGAGGAGAGAGGGGAGAGAATATGTTTATACTTACCGGTTATGTAACCGGCGTTGTGCCATCTGAACTGCAAAGGGGGGAGGCCGTCTACGTACGGTAGTTGAAGGCTGCGTAGACCCAACCCGCTGGACTTATTGGATGACAGAACCCAGTTTGAAGGTTCGCCGAACCGTGAGTCGCTGCCCCGTCGTGCATCGACACGAGCGTTTGTCAACTTCACGCCACGCTGCCCAACAGTTGCACCTGCCTACGGGCAACGTGGAGCGAACACAAAGGCCCGTCTCCAAACGGCGACGGGGGAAAGTAGGGTGTAGAGGGAAGAGAACTTGGAAGTGGGGAAGAGACGCTCCGAGTCAGCCAGTTCGCGCCAGCGAAGCCTGAGGATTCCCGTCGGGCATCGACACGGGACGCCCAGTACCTGCGCGACGCCGCCGAGACGTCCAAGTAGGAACACCTGGGCAGCGTCGGGAGTGCTGCGAATCCCGTGTCCAAGCGCGACGTGGACAGAAAGACTGTTGGTTGTGGTTCCTGTAAGGACAGGAATCGCCATGTGCATTGGCCGTTGGGATGCCGTCTGTGTTACAAGCGCCTGGAGCCCAGCGAGCGAGAGCCGCTGATCTCGGGACGTAGTAGTAGAGTCGTTGTAGGATCATCGCAAAACGAGGAATGTGAGTCCGGAAGTAACTGCAAGTCGCCCGCGCACATGGACGTGCTCTACAGCCCGAGTAAGGTTCCAACGTCGTCGTAGGCAGATTCTGTGGGCCGTGCCCTGCCAGCGACGCAGTGCGAAAGTAGGGCGTCCAGTCGGGCGATCCGGGAGCCAACGATGACATCACCTCCGCGTCACCGCTCCTCCCGTCGCTGCCACCCGTCGCGCCCCATAAAACCCAGCTCGCGTGCGCGTTCTCCTCCTAAACTTACCCACGTTCTCCCATCTACCTCTTTAACATGTCCGGCTCGAACGATACCGCCCGCTTTGACGCGTCCGTCCCGCACTCGCATAAGAACGCGGACCGCAAAGACCAGCGCACGCACGCCAACACCGTAGAGGCCGCCAACAAGGTACGTCCCGAGCGTCGCGTCGCTGCTTTGCCTCGTTGACGCGCGCGCGTACAGGCGGAGAAGGAGGAACGCCAAGCCGAGCGCGAGCGCGCGGAGAATAGCGACCCGCTGGAGCCTGCAAAGGCGCACGGGAACGAGCCGAGTCGGGGCGCGAAGGTGGACAAGATGATCGAGGAGCAGGAGGAGGAGGAGCTGCGAAACAAGGGCAAGATCTAAGTCGTCTTGTTCTGTCCATGCGTGTATTTGTACCCGAACCAATCGTGAATCGACGCGTACGAGGAGGGCTGTTTGGAGCTCCGCTTGATCGTCCGTTTCCTCCTCGTGTCGTGCTTGGACACGGACATCGCACTCCGGAATACGCTGCAGACGTTACGCTTACGGTGAACGTCCTGCCGGTGTATTTCTTTGTTTTCTCCAGGTGGTGCGGTGGCCGTGTGCCTGCGCGCCCCGGGTGCATGCTGTCCTACCAATGACTCAGGCTGACTTCCGTTCAAACCGACGCTCGGTATCTGCTGCAGCTGGCAGGGGCAAGAGCGACCCTGTCGCCGCTCGCCGTCATCCAGTAAGTGCTCTCCTCCAGTCCCCGTCACAGTCCCAACCGCCGCTTACCTACATGATTCCAGTGCCTGAGACTTCGTCCAGTACTTGTGTACTCAGGCCTTCCGTCCCGCAGGCTTCGGCGTTGCGTACGTTGCGTCCGCATCGTATATGTAAACTTTGCCTGCACAACGTTCCGACGAAGAGGAAATGTCGCGGGACGGGAGCCTGCGTGCGCAGTCTGTCAAACTCGTTTCAGATGAGCGTAGGTGCGAGCCCCGTGGTGACCTTCCTTGTTCAACGGCCCGGTGCGTGCGCATGCACTTGCGGTCGGGTCTTATTTGCCATAATTCCCACCAATCAACACGTCGCAGCCCCTTTGTCACTTCAAATTCCACTGTGGCATATCTCACTTCCTCACCACTCGACCTGACTGTGCGTATTTCTCCCATGTCTTCAATCAGAGTACTGCAGTACATATGCATCTGGCTGGCGGGCCCGTCACGGTTCTGTCTTCGATGCTCGGCCGCACTTCGCGTTCAACGTCTTACCAATGTAGTCGTGACCGTGTTACTTCGACTCGCGATGGCTCCCTTCACGACGACGCTTGGTATCCACTATCTGGCAGAGTCACGAATCTGCCAACGCCTTGAACTAGAAACGCTCCACGGTTGGCTCAGCGTCGTGATCGCCGGCGCCGCGCTTGTGGTCTCGGGACTCCCGTCCCGCAGCTATTTGCATCACTTACCTTGCGTCCGCATCCATATCCAAACGTTGCGTGCACAAGGTATGAGATGTATATACAGTGGGACGAGAGCCTGCGGGCGCAATATCCTAAACTCGTTCCAAATGAGTGTAGGTCCGTCGAAGGAAATCATGTCGGTCGACGCGATGCAGTCTTACCTTGCCAGAACTCCCCTCGTAGCGCCCGTATTCCACCGCGCATCCGCCTTCCCAGCTTCCCACTCGACCAGACTGGGCTTTTTTTTTACCATCTCTGCAATTTATGCGGCCGTGCTTTACCAATTATCCTAACGACCCGCACAGGCTTCTTCACCTT